TCTGGCTATTGCAGCCATTTGGGGAGTGAATCAGCAGATAAAAGAGTTTTCTGTCTCTTCTCCTTGTAAATCTGCCTTTCCAATAAAAACAAAACAAAACAAAGCAGCAGAAAACAGCTACTCCCTACTTCTTTTTTAACAGATATTCCGTTCATTAGTTCACTTCCCAGATAGCTCAAGGAACCACAGCTGGGTCAGGCCAAAACCAGGAGCCAGGAGCTTCTTCTAGGTCTCTCAGCTATGTGGCAGGCACCCAAGCACATGGGGGTCATTTTCTGTGGCTTTTCCCAGGCCATTAGCAGCAGGGAGCTGGATCGGAAGGGGAACAGCCACGACACAAACCAGCTCCCATATGGGATGCTAGTGTTGCAGATGGCAGCTTTACTCCCTAGACCATAATGCTGGCCCTACTTCATAAATTGGATTCAGCTCCCTATCAATGCACCTGGGAACCTGGGCTCCTGACACCTATGTGGGAGATGGAGGTTCTGACTTTTTTTTAGATGTATTTTTTTGCTTGTTTTTTTTTTTTTTTATTGGAAAAGCAAATGTACAGAGAGGAGGAGAGACAGAGAGGAAAGTTCTTCCATATACTGTTTCACTTTCCAAGTGGCCACAATGGCTGGAACTGAGCCGATCCAAAGCCAGGAGCCACGAGCTTCTTCCAGGTGTCCTACGTGGGTGCAGGGCCCCAAGGCTTTGGGCCGCCCTTGACTGCTTTCCCAGGCCATAACCAGGGAGCTGGCTGGGAAGCGGGGCTTCCGGGACACAAACCAGTGCCCAAATGGGATCTTGGCATGTGCAAGGCGAGGATTTAGCCACTGAGCCACTGCACCAGGCCCTAGCTCCTGGTTTTAACTTGGCCCAGGTCCAGCTGTGTGGGCATTTAGGGACTGAATCAGTAGCTGAAAGATCCCTCTCTATCACTCTGCCTTTCAAATAAATAAATACATTTTTGTTGAAAAAAAAAAAAGGCATCCAGCTGTATCCACATGAAACAACATCTCAAATTCAACATGACTGACAGAAACAATACTTTTTCCTGTTTCCAAACACAATAGAACAATGTCTTAAAAGTATGCATTGTGCTAGCTTTATTATTATTATTATTATTATTATTTAGTTTGTTTGAAAGGCAGAGTTACAGAAAGAGGGAGAGGCCTCCTCTATCCACTACTTAACTCCCCAAGTGGCCTCAGCAGGCAAAGTTGGCCAGATGGAAGCCAGGAACTTCATCAAGTAGAAAGGCAGAGGCCCAAACACTTGGGATGACATCTGCTTCTGCTTTCCAAGTGTTATTATTAGGGAGCTGTATCCGAAGTGGAGCAGCCAGAAATTAAAAGTACCCATTTGAGATACTGTCATGGCAGGTGATGTCTTAAGTAGCTGCACTGCAATGTGGCCCCTAGAACTTTATAATCTATCCTTATGGAAAAGTTCATCCACAAGTTATTTTTAAAAATCGATAGGCATTTGGTACAGTAGTTAATATGTTGCTTGGAAAGCCTGTATCATACACCAAAGTGCTTGGGTTGGAATTCTGGCTTCACTGCTGATTTTTACCTCCTGTTGAAACACACACACACCCTGGGAGGCAGCCTAGCTGTCTGGATCCCTTCCACCCATGTGGGAGACCCAGAACAAATTCCTAGTTCCTGACTACCCTGGCTCAGTCCTAGTCTTGCAGGCCTTTGGGATATGAATCAGCAGATGGGAGATTTCTCTCTCTCTCACTGCTTCTTTGCTTAAAAAAAAAAATACAATATTATAATATTCACCTCCCATGACCAATTTGAAGATTCCCTTATGCATTTATTTCCAATTTTTTGCACCAAAACAAATGTTATCTTTTAATTCCATTTTCCCAGACTTTCTGATATACCCTTGTATTTCTATTATCTAAACAACACAGAAGAAATACCATTTTATAGGCATAATGTTTTTAATGGATGCTATGTTATATACACTTCAAAACCCATACAACTCAAATTCAACAAATCTTGTGCCAAATGGGGTACCTGGGGCATTGTTGCCTTAACAACACTAACCTATTCTCACGAGGCAGCCTCTACTAACTCCGGTTCTACCCACATCCCGTGGAGAGGTGTCAGCAGGAACATTGCTTTCCCTGGTTCCTCTTTATGAGGCCTCAAGAGAAACAGACTGGCAAAATAAGAAAAAGGGCTAAACAACTATACCAACTGTCTTTTCAGATGAGAATGCAGACATCACAACCTTCAGCAACCATCTTTAAAAAAAAATACGTGCAGCACATTTAGCACTCAGCTGTGTCACATCAGACTTACTGTTGGGAAGTGGACCATGAACAGAATCCAAAAATAACAGCCATTAAAGACCTAGCAACCAAAACATGTTTACGTATCCATTGAAAGCCTGGTGGATTTGATTATATAGTGGAGAGCACAATCCACTAGTCTATTTTAGGTAAGTTTCCCTTTCACCTTCCTTTAACATGAAAGCATAGGATGATCTCTGAGTTTAGAGGTGTCCTGGCTAAAGTCTGTGCAGGCAACAAAATGCCAGAATAATACAAAAATCTGATTTTTTTTTGCTTTTTGAAGATATAGTCTCCTGACCTGTGATTTGCTTTCATTCCTTCTCCCTCTATCTGGTAGGTGCCAGTGCTTTTGCATACTGCTGTGGGAGTTTCCAAACACACCTTTCGAAAATAACCATGGTCCTTCTTACCCCTTCAGGGACTTACAAAGCCTTTTTATTATTCTATCATTTCTGGGATAAAGAATGAGAAGCAACGACACAATGATAAGTAGATTATAAATAGTTTAAGGGCCTCAAGGTGGCTCCTGAATGAAGCCATGCTCAAGAGATACACGGAAGTTGGATGACAGACCAAGGGTGGCCAACTTCACCTAATGTATCTTCTCTGCTTCATATGACATAAAGCCATCAGCATAATCCTTATAGGGACCCACTCAAGCATTACTTGTGACCAGGTTTTGGGAGAAACTTGGAAGACCAAATGTAACTTAAGAATTATTCATCTCAGCTGACCATAAAGTTCTTACATACAAAGAGGCAAAGACTCATGCTACATAGAAAGTCAAACATAGCAAGTCTTAAGCTGTTGCTTTCTATCATTTCTTTTATAAAAGAAGTAACTTGAATCCAAAAGGGAGCAGGAATCTCCCTGAGTTCCACGTTCACCTTCTCCCTGGGGGGGCGGAGGAAAGCATTCAAAACCTAAGCCAGAAGCTATAATGGATCCTAAAAATCAAACTACTAACAAACAACTCAGAAATGGGAGGGGAAAGCAGGGGAAGGAAAGGCTTATGGCAAACAGAATCCAACAATACAGGGAGGAACCAAAGTAAAAAGTCCCTATTGTTTCCCCACTGCCAGGGAAAAAAAGGCAGACCAAAACCAAAGAAATAAACACAAATTTCACAGATTCCTAGACTCTCACTGCATATGATAACTCTTTTTCTGACAAAACAGCCTGAAGAGATGTTATTCTTATCTCTCTTCCTCAAAGAACTTAGAAGATGCTTTTCCTTATTTCTTGTGTATTTCTGTTTTTATTTCTTTGAGAAGTTCTTGCCTGGGTGATGGTTTTAAGCATAAGTATACAAGGGGGATATAGGAGTTAAGAAATTTAAACAATAAATAGGAAAAGATACTGGTAAGTGGAGAAAAAATCTGTAATTTTTAAAGAAAAGGGTTGTCAGATTGCAGTTGTGGGAGTACAGAGTAATATTCTAAAATTCAAATATAAAAATTTACAAGAATCATTTTATATTTGCATTCTAATAAGACTGCCATAAAAGTGAAATTCACCCTATTGTCTCAACTGCATTGGTTTTTTTAAAAAATATAAAATGTAATATAAACCACATATGCAAATAATCAATGATAGAGTTGAAAACTCGGACAAATTTAGAACGCAGAATATTGCAAAATACAATAACTTTAAGAGTATCTTTTCTGAAATTTTCAGCATTTATTAGAACTTACAATAATATTCCTTTTTTTTCCATTTGTGTCACCCACCATCTCCACCTCATCTGCTTCTCATTCCAAGTTGGAATCTCTGGAATTCAGCTCTTTTGTCTAAGTATTTACAATGTTTAATAGAACTAGTCTGCAATATCACATACCACCAGTAAGTGTCACTAGACAGTCACATGACATTCTCTGCTGAGGTAAAAGTCAACCCTTTAGGGTCTATCTAAAAGGAATTAACGAAGGCAATTAAAAACTTTAATTCCTTTTTTTCATATTTTGTTTAACATGGAAAAATGAGACAGTATGGAAAAAAAGAATTAAGAATGTATGAAATTTTTAAAAAAGTGATTACAATAAAATTATTTTAAAGACATACAATGAAAAATACTTGACAATATCTACACATATGCAAATGATTACATAGCAGTTGACATACACTTGAACAACACACTAGGGAAAATGGTTATATAATACTGTGAGAGTTCAGGTTCTATGTTGCATTTGTCTTTCCTAAATTGGTATCTGCCCTAGCTGTTAACAATAATTTTCTGGCTCAATAATCAAGAAAAAAAATCTTTTTCTTTTTATTTGAAAAAATTCAAATAGACTCTAACAAATTAGGGTCACAATGAATGGATACATTTTCAGCTGCTTCTCCAAATATGTTAAACCAATTTTCATTTTCATGCATGTTGAAAAGATATCTCTAAACTTGCTGTGTATTTAGATGGACAGCTTTAGACTGAGGGAGAGAGCAACACGTATTCTTCAATACTGTACACTGGGAAACAAACACCAGTAGAATAACAATGTGGAAGACAGCAAGGCAGGTTTCGTTTCGTTATGGTAGAGTGCCTACACTTCCTCATAACTTGGATTTACACACTGCAAATCCTCTGATCTGATTACCTCCAGTGATCACGTAAAATACCAGCTTTAAACTCTTTGCCTTAGTGATAAAACAGCCACTTTGATTCACAACGAGACATTCACAATAAAGTATATTGTAAACGTACCTGTCCACAGCCCGGGGCATTGCACACAAACGGTCTGTCGTCTCCCATATTTCATATAGCAGAGCGGAGCTGAGGAGTGGGAGGTAGGGAAAAGTTATGTTAAATACGTTAGAGCAAGAAAAAAAAAAGTGCTTCAAAAATATCAAGCCTAGAAACAGGTGTTCCAGGAATGCCATCTATCAAAGCTGTAAACACAGGCTACTTTGGGGAGACCCGTTAAACAGGTGGCATATGATCCACTGTGCCTCAATTGAAACTTTTAATTAGAAAAATTGAGTCCTAAATAGTCAAGGAATTTGAACCTGTGCTATATTTTCATTCTTTTTGTTACAGTATATAACACACTTCTTCCGTCTGCTGAATTACAACCAGGGCAGTTCCCCATGTCAATAAATCCACTGAATGCTCGATACGGAAGCCATATTTCTAAACTAGAGAAGACCAAAATTTGTCATTTAATTAATTAAGGGATTATAGGAGGGGTGCTCCATTTTACAGGGCCATAATCTGGCTCCCTGGTGTATAAACTATGAGACTGTTGGCAAGGGTCATTTATCCCAGATTATTGCCAAACAAAACAAAGCACCCATCCTATTGGGCTACACGGGAAATGATTTTCATTAATAAAAAAATAAAAATAAAATAAAAACCTCCTCCCCCCACTGGGAGCCTCCTTCTCCCCGCACCAATCGTCTGTGGCAAATGGAGAAATATCCGTGCCCTTCCCCCCCTCTGATTCTATTTATGGCCAGGTTTTTAAAAGCAGCAATAAAACAAATGTCGACTCTTTGGGGGTTTACTGGGTGAATATGTTCCGGCTGTTTGTGCTGCTCTAGGCTAGAGTTCTTGGGCTGCTCTGCTGTAGCCAACAGATGTGTGCTGCTGCAGGGTAGAAAAGAAACGACACTAAAAGGCATTACACACATCCCCTCTGTTTCTCTGAAGAATTTCACAGATTTTACACTGTTTTTAAATTATTGAAGCTGAATTCTTGAAATGTTGACTGAAACTTTTCATCAAAGAATGGTAATTCCAGTGTGAATGTGCTGGATACATTTTACAAAATTCCAAATAGGGTAAAAAAATAGACGTAGAGATGGCACGGATTAGTATGCAAATCACAGTAAAGAGTCCCAAAAGCTAAACAGTATTTTGGAAGGGCAGAAGAGAAAAATGGGGAATGGGAGGGGGCCTGGAACAAATAGTTTCATAGAATGAATTCCTGAAAGATATTTTTAAAATACCCTTTCATAAAATAGAAATGTATCCAAAAGAATGTGAACAGGAAAGATGAGCGAGAAACCACAGTTTGAATAAGCCTGGAAATGACTTCAGAATTGAAACCAAAGGTAACAATTTTATCTTAGAAATGTCAGCTCAATCTCAAGCCTTCATTAAAAGAAAACGTTCACATGCTAGAATGAATCTGGTCATCCGAAAACCGCGCTTAAAACTCAGAAGGTGGTTAGGTACCAGCTTTCCTGCTCTCTGAGGACTCACTCTGGGGTTAGAAACCAGTATTTCTGGTTGTCTCATCAGTAATTCTACCACTAATCGGTGTTTAAAATTGTGGGGTGCCCCAGAAGATAGAAGGGGCTACATGGTCATCTTTCAGTGTGACGGGAACACGGTCTAACTATGAAGGAAACCAATGCTGCAGCCTTGCTGTAATGGAAGGCGCCTGTATGTACACACGTGTACACAGATTGATATCACATTTAGCCAGGATAAATTGCTTCAATAAATTCTGTTCCTCGGAGAGGCTAGCTCAAGCTGATGATTGGGTACTGGGAAATGCAAGCTTCATTCTTCTTCACACAGCCTCAGGGCAGGAGGGTTTTTTGGTTGGTTGGCTGGTTTTAAATGCACGCTGATTTTTTTTAGCACTTTCTAGAACCTCAAGATAGTGCCAACAAAACAAAACAAAAACAGAATAAATAAATGCAAACACCACAGCCATTATGACTGAAAACTCAGGGCCTTTTTGGAAGGCAATTCACCTCCGGAAAATGTCCTAACTATAGTGCTACAGACAATTCCACTTCCCAAACCCAGGACGTCTTCCTAAAATGAGAATTTTATTTAACACGTATTCAACCAGGAAGTAAACTACAAGGTTAGAATAGACATTACACAAGGATCCGGCAGAATTCTTTTATCTTGGTCCTTATTTTCCTACCTATTTTGAGGAAGGAAATGGTCTCTACCGAGATAGATGTAGGGCAGAACTGGCATGGGAAGGGTGTCCCTCAAACCACAAACCACTAAATTCAAATTTTAACTTGGCTTTGCACAATCACATTACAATGTACAACTTCCCAAATTTTATTTAGTGGTATCTTTATTAGGAAAGAAGTGGAGAATCAAGCAGTTTTAAAAGGAAAAAAATATATATACGAGGGAGAAAAAAAGCATAAAGATTGGACACAAGTAAGCAGTCTCACTGCTGTTCAATATTCAGTGGCCGTCCACTAACTAGGCTCTCCTGCTTCCTTCCCAATTTGCTGGCCTTTGTTTGGCCATTCTTACTAAAGGGAATGAGATCACAATAGAAGGAAGCAGGCTTTTTCTCTTAAATACCCACAGTTGTTCTTCAATCATTCTCGCAATCTTTGGCACCTTGTCACTTTTACCATTCTTGCTTTAAGTACTTTTTAACTTTAAAACACCTTTTACAATTTAATATTCAACAAGAGTAATGTTTCTTATTTTAAAAAATCCGGCTAACATATTTTAAAAAATCATTTCCAGTCTGCTGCATTAATTGTTACAAATAAAGGATGTCATCACTTTTTTCTGTTTAACACTTAAATGAATCTTTAATTATCAGGTCAAACTGAAGCTGCTTCAAGACAAAGAAGCAACCTATTTCTGGAGTGTAAACAGATTGGGACAAAAAGTAAAATCATGAGGAAGGATGCTGACACTCACTAGAATTTAACTCCCAGTTTGTCTGTAACTGTACGCCCTGACAAGTAGAGCTTGTGTCTGGTCTCGGCATCCACTGTCAGTTTCTTCTCCATTCGTTCTTCAGGATGAAACACAAGCAGTTTAGAGAACTAAGCAATCAATGGCGAGAGGGAAACACACTCAAAGAGGCATTGGCAAGGGTGTGTGAGATGCTTTCAGCAAGGATCTTAGAACAGCAAAGCAAAGATGCATTACAGGCTGTCCCAGTGGCCAAGCTGTGCGGAGAAAAAGGCTGCGGGAGGCAGAGGGACTGAAATGCACAACAGATACAAATGAATGTTTACCCAAAGTCATCTGAATGCTGGCAGTGAAGTGAAGACCCAAGGTTTAGAGAAGGATTTTTAGGAGCTGAGATTATTTCCAAAAAATCTGTTTTTTCTTCAGAGCCAACATGCAAGTAATAAAATGTTCTCTGTGTATACATAGATTGATCTATTTATGTAGATTTTAACGGAATGAGGAAGAATTCTGTCACTAAGGGCTACAAAGTCAGTTCTCTGAACCCAGGTATGATATGATCATTTCTCTAGTAACCAAATGATGTTAATAAGATGCCCAGCTCTAAGAAAAGAAATTAAAGCTATTTACAAACACATATTGGGGCCTTTTGTTAGGTACCTAAAGACAAACTTGCCTAGGTCCAAAAAATAAGATATATGCACCACCATTCTCAAAGATTCACAAAAATCAAGAAGGAACTTAGATTGGCTATCATTCATTGATTTGAAACACACCTCTAAGGACTTATTACCTGACAAACCAAAATGGACATTTAAAGTACAAAGACGGAGCCAACACAGTGACACAGCAAGTTAAGCTGCCATCTGTAGTGCCAGCATCCCATATGGATGCCAGTTCTGAGCCCCAGCTGCCTGTCTTCCCATCCAGCTCCCTGCTAACACACCTGGGAAGGTAGCAAATGACAACCCCAAGGATTGGCATCCCATGCCCAGGAAGGACAGAGCTCCACGCTCCTGGCTTTGGCAAGGCACAGTCCCAGCCACTGTGGCCATTTGGAGGGTTACCAAGCAGATGCAAGAGTTCTCTGTCTAACTATGCCTGCCTCTCTGTATTCTGCCTTTCAAATAATTGAATAAAGCTTTTCAAATAGGGCTCGGCACAGTGGTGCAGTGGTTAGGGTCCTCACCTTACACGCCCCTGGGGATCCCATATGGTCACTGGTTCTATTCCTGGCAGCCCTGTTTCCCATCCAGCTCCCTGCTTGTGGCCTGGGACAGCAGTTGAGGACGGCCCAAATTCTTGGGACCCTGCACCAGTGTGGGACACCCAGAGGGGCTCCTGGTTGCTGGCTTCGAATTGGCTCAGCTCCAGCCATTGCACTCACTTGGGGAGTGGACCATCAGAGGGAGGATCTTCCTCTCTGTTTCTCCTCCGCTCTGTTTATCTGACTTTCCAATAAAAATGAATAAATCTTTAAAACAAAAAAAAAGGTTCTCAAATAAATGAATAAATGAAAAATTATCGATTAGGGCCCAATGCTGTAGCCTAGCAACTGGAATCCTATGTGGACATCAGTTCGTGTCCTGGCTGCCCCACTTCCCATCCAGTGGCCTTGGGACCCTGCACCCACATGTGGGAGACCTGGAAGAGGATCCTGGCTCCTGGTTTCGGATCCTCTTGGTTCTGGCCATTGTGGCCACTTGGGGAGTGAACCAGCAGTGGAGGATATTTCTCTCGCTCCTTTTCTCTGTGGATCTGCCTTTCCAATAAAAATAAAAAAATAAAAATTATGGATTAATTTGCAAGTTCAATTAGAGGCTCCCATGTATTCTACATAGGAGTTAAGATTCTTTGCTGTTTCTCCTGCTGTCTAGCAGAATTATCAAATTCTTCTGCTAGTAATGACAGGATATGAAAAAGAGCGTGTGTGCACGCGCACACACACACACACATACAGATAACTGTTAAAGATTCAAGAATAAGAAAGTCTGAAACTAATAACCACAATTTGTTTTTTGTATCAAGTATGTCTAGTTACTTTTATTTTTAACACGGTTTTACTGATCATGACCAGGTTTTTTTTTTTTTTTTTTTAAGATTTTACTTTGGGTTTGGTGCCATGGCTCAATTAGCCAATC